AAAACCATGAAGTGGAGAATCCTGTTCTGACGACTTAATCCCCCAAACTAAGATGCCAATGAAAAACGCCGACATATAACAGCGCTCTGGTTCCAGAGAGACGGATCGGACTATTCCAGCGGGGCAAGCAGGATGAACAGAAATAAATACGAGCACAGTTGACCTCGACATACGGAGAAACCAAACCACCTCCGATATTACTCGCAAGACCGAGGACTACGTGCTACTCAGAAACTTATTGATATCATGCAGAACACATAAAAGCTTTTTCAACCAATTCACAGACGAATCGATGAGCGTCTTTTTTCCCACCAGTCAGATAGTGCTTGCTGAAGTCTGCGATGTTCACGCGTACAACCTCGGCGTTTAACAAGCGACCCACGAGCCTTCCCTTCCATACGGCTCGGCCGTTCAAACGTCGGGTATCCGCACCTCGGGCAGCTCTCAGAAAATGAGACGGCCCGTCCGCCTCGACAACAACGCGTCGCCCATCAGATCGAGATATCAGTGCATCTACCGGACCCACTGCAGTTGTGAACTCTTGTTGAACATTGACACTCTGATGGAGCCCTTTAAGTGCTTCAAACACTTGAAGTTGGAAGTGGCTCGGGGTAGGTGACGGCCAGACGATTCCACACGGGATCGCGTCACCAGCAGCAACAGCGCAACTAACTCGTGCTTGGTCAACCTGCGATGCCCCTGCTTCTGACAGAGTCTCCAACAGTTGTACAGGAATGCCTTCAAGGCACTTGTTGGCTAAGTCGTGCTTTCCTATAACCGCGAATGACCCTGCCAATTGAGCAAGATCTTCAATACCACACGCTGGTAGAATCCTATTCAGATACTCAAAGAGGGTCTCCATACAATCAGTCGGTGCTAGCGGGGATAGCCGAGAACAAGCCCATACGACAGATGCATAGTGTTTCGGAGAGACAGGAGTGTCAAAGTCAATGCTAGCCACCAGTTTGATAACAAGGTCGTCATCGAAGTACCCGGCATCGACCAGAGCCCACAGACACTTGGAAACTTGCGCTGCACTACGCGGAGTAGCACCCTCCAACCAGGTGCACAAGAGTCCCACTTCTTCGCGAGACAAGACAGCTATTGCTGACCAGAACAGTGTCGGGTAGTCCTTAGCAGAAAGTTCACATTCGCTTTTCATCGCCGATCGAGCTAATTCACGAAGCAGTCGGTTGTCGTCTTTAGCATAGCACCAACACAAGGAGACCATAGTAGTTGCGTTCATTTCGGGAATTTGTCCCCGCAACACTGGTGCTAGACAACCGAGCAGTTTGGAATAGAGATTGGCAACTGCATGGTCCCGACTAGACCATATGCCGACACCCCACAAGCAGTTAGCGATGCCCCTAGGCCCGAATTCAGGGAAACGTGACAGTAGAGCAGTTCCAAGGGCCACAACTGCATGCTCCACGGAAGCTGCATCTAGCCAATTACACGGAGTCTTCCCAAACGCCCAAAGAATATTCGCCATACTCTGAGGCGATAACGAAGCTCGCTTTGTTGGGACCGAGAGCCAACTCTTGGAGACAGTGTTGAAGACCATACGACTACCCTCGGGACACTCCAGTGTTGCTAACGCCCACAGAATGTTGGAGATGTGCTGGCCTTCATATGCCGCTGATTTGCTCTCGATGTGGTTGTCAACAGACTGTAGTGCAATCAAGTTGATACTGTGTTCAGCTTTACCATATGCCCATACAATATTCGCAACAGACTGGGGACTGAAATCGTCAAGGTTTTCGAGACGACTCATTGCGGACTCCATCACTTGTCTCACGTCTCTCGATTGGAACCTATCCTGGTGCTTAGCAATGGCGTACAGAGCGGATGACAAAGCTTGCGGCGACATTAAACCCATATGGTCTCCCGCCAGCGCTAGCAGCTGTGAGTATAGTTTCTTGTCGGCCGAATTCCTCCCGAGTTTACCGAGAGACCATAAGAGCATCCCATACTGGTCTGGTTCATAAAAGGGCAGTCGTTTTGGTTCAAGTGCCGTGCCAACGAGGCAGCGCACGAAAGGCAAGTCCGAATTCTCAGCCACTCTAGCCAAGCGTTGTAGTGCCGCTGTAAAATGCATAGGATGCCAGTCCTTGAACTTGAGGCTCTGGGCTGTGGTCCCCAGTAAGATCAATTCCCTTCGAGACGCTCGGCATATCCGATCTAGTAATCGCGGTGGAGAGGAAGATGATAAATGATGTTGGGCCATCACAAACAACTACATGCTCGGAAAACGACGATTCTTCAGAGAATCCATTCTGGAAATTTGATTCAAAACGTCGCAGTCGATTCCTATTGAGCACCCAATACATGAGTTGTGAAGTTAGTGACAAAAGTGCCCGCACCTACTCCATAACTTATGGACGGGTGAGGATTTTTCGCAGGTCTTATACCTGACTTATGGACCATAAGTCAGGTATCTACGACGTTATAAGGTGAACTGCCGTGCCACCTCATCTCATGAAGACCAAAGTCTACTTCAGGGGCCTATTCTAAAATTTCTTTAGAGTAGCATTCTTGAGCTCCTTACGCATAGAACCACCAAATTCCGTCTAATCCGCTCTCAAAATCCTCCTCGAAAACACCTCAAGACGAGTTCTTCAAATCATCGACTTATTGAGATTTAACCCCCCCCCCCCCCTTGAAGAGAAATAGGCCCCAAAATGTATCCTGGTTGACCTAAGTCTCGCAGAAAAGAATTGAGTCGTGAAAAATAGGATGACGCCTGGCTCCCAAGATCTAGCTTGCTAGACCAATCGGATGTTATAGAGTCAATGACATGTCGTGTATTGCGGTGCATAGATTATTGTGGCGCGCGCAGTACGTCTTTGCATTAGCTATATACTTATACTATGACTCTTTTTCCACCACATATACCGTGGTAGTGTTAGCCTCAGTGGTCCCAACATCCCTTACTATTTTTCCAAGAACCTCCCACTATCGTCACAACACAAATAGGTCTGCACGGTCTACCAAATTACGAGCCGAATACCCTGGTCGAGCTTTCGCCTCGGGCATCCGAGCCAACGTGGAGCTTTCGCCTCGGGCATCCGAGCCAACGTGGATCTCGGAGGAACAACTCGTAATGTAGATTCAACGTGGGGATGTGGCCGGCATTCTTGAATGACGACTGAGTAGTCAAAACTCAAGACAACTGGGTAGACAACTGGAAACTCGGCACTGGAGCGGTGCTGGCCTTTGGACCCAGCGAACCGGCGCCACGGGCGTGTTGGACGGCTCTGTGATTAGATT